TCTAGGGACAGGCAGAAGAGAAAGGCCCCTGAACCCAAGAAACCTTCCAGGGCAGAGGAGCAGGATGCCTTGAGAAGGCAGAAAGCTCTAGAAAAGCAGGTGGAGAAAAGCCAGCGTGCTGCTGGTGGGAGGAGCCGGAGATCACCAGACTAGAGGAGTCAGATTCTTCTGCTCTGCCTCCAGTTTTACAAATGGAGCCTGGGCCTTCTACCTCCACTAGTGGATCTTGCCTGGTCTAACTTAGCTGTAATTGCGGATCCACACCCAATAGAGGGAGTTTCAGATTACGAAGGAGATCCCAAGCAGTTTGCCAGGATGAAACTAGGGCACCTCCTCCAAAGAGAGCCAGACCAGGGGTGGCAGCAACTTATATGCCCACAGCTGCTGGCTTGCGCAGTTCTGAAGAGGCTGAAGCAGCATTACCTGCGCACATGGAGGCAATTATCTCTAGGCAGGTATTGTGGAAGGCCTCCAAGCTATGAGGAGGCCTGAATTGGTGGTATAACAACATTCAGACCTAGAACAGTCCATTCAGGAGAGAAGCAGAGAATCCTTAAGAGACAGGGCTTCCCCTGACCCCTCCATACATAGCTTTACACATAAAACACCAGAGGAAGACGAGGGAATCTGATTTCTCGGCAGACGAAGAAATGGCTCCGGAGAGACCTTCCTTCTCCAGTCTCTTTGATTCACAAAAGTTCAGAGCCTTATTGAGGCCAGGAAGACAGCCCAATTGGGACCAAAAGCAGATGTCGGGAAAGTGGAAGAAGAAACTGCTTCTCCAGACCAATATTTTGATGAATCAACAGTTTGGCCTGAATTGGTTCCAGTGCCTAGATTATTTTTGAATATTATCAAGAAACAGCTGGAATCCCTGGGGACATCTGCCATGTTATCGGCCAGCGAATGCTGCTACTTTAATATGGGGCCTGAACTTACCAGCTCATTACCTTAGTGGACGGTCCAGTTGCAGCCTTGATTCCTTCCTCATCAAACCTTGCTGATCCAGAGGAGGCATTGAAGGTGGAGGACAAGAGGATAGAACAATCCCTCTAACGTACCCACCTGGCGGCTGCCTGGGCGGTCAAGGCTGCTTTGGCTGCTTCATTCTTTATGAGATCTTCCTTATGTTGGCTGCACCAACTGCAAGGTCCCCGCCACAGATGTCTGAGTGTACCGAGACATCCATAAACTTGTGGCAGCGGCTGAATTTACTGTGGATACCACTTTAAACAATGCCAGATTTGCTTCAAAGGCCAGTGCCACTTCTGTAGCAGCCCACAGAATGGTCTGGCTTAAAAACTGGCAGGCCGATGGGTGGCAGAAGTGGAAGGTGGCATCTGCCTTCATCAAGGGGATAAATTGGGGAGGTCTTAGAGGCCCATCTGGTGGAGACCAGAGATAAAAAGAAATACCTTCCTTCTCTGGCAAGGCAGTACAGAGCAGTACCATACACCCACAGGTCATCTTTCAGAGCTGAGGGCAGCACCAGGGCTCAAGGGCCTCAGAGTCAGTCCTTCAACTCCCAGGAAAGAGCGGCCAGAGATAGGCCCCAATTTTCAGGCAAGCAGCCCTTTCGTGGGGGAGGAAGTCGCTTTTTCCGGCATTCCCACTAAATACAGCAGTAGTTCTCCCATTGGGGGTAGGTTATCCAATTTTGTGGCCCAATGGGAGGCTACTACATCCAACGCTTAGGTCTTAAAGACCATCAGACATGGCCTTTTCCTAGAATTTAGGTCACAACCCCCCAGATTTTATGTGCCTTGCAAGGAGGCTTCCCGTAGGAAACTAATGGAACAGGCCATCCAATACCTACTGGATATTAGAGCCATCCAGTCAGTTCCAGTTAATCAACAGGGTAAGGGATTCTACTCCCAGCTGTTTGTTGTTCCCAAGGCTTCTGGGGGGTGGAGAGCCATTCTGGATTTAAAAAGGCTCAATAATTTTTTGTTGTACAAGCATTTCTGGATGCATTCTATTTTGCAGAGCATCAGGGAGGGTAACTTCCTCACCTCAACTGATTTAACAGAGGCTTATCTATACATCATAATTTGTCAGACACACAGGGAATATTTATGCTTCAGCTACAAGGGGGAGTCACTTCCAATATAGGGCTATGCCTTTTGATTTATCCTCTGCACCCAGGATGTTTACTAAGGTCTTGGCTGCCTTGGCAGCTCGCTTGAGAACCATCCCAGTAAGGGTATAGTGTTACCTGGATGACATTTTAATCCAATCATCCTCCCATGACTGGGCCTTAAAGGATCTCCAAGCGACAGTCTCACTGTTACAAGACCATGGCTTTTCAATTAACAAGAAAAATCATTTCTCACCATTTACATGTTTATTGCATCTTGGAGCTAAGATTGACAGTGTCTTGTAAGGTATTCCTCTCACAGGAATGCAAAGACAGTTTACAAAACATGGTGGGGGAGGTCGTGAGAGCGGATAAGCCCCCCTTGGCACTTCTCTCTCAACTCTTAGAGAAGATGATTTCTTGCATCTCCATCGTGCCTTGGGCTAGACTACACTCCAGAAAGCTTCAGTGGTTTCTGTTGCCCAACCAAAAGGCGGGTAGAAGTCACTCATCTCTCAAGGTCTCAGTCCCTGGGTCTGTCAAGCGGTCCTTGTCATGGTGGTTTTCTCAGGCTTTGAATGCAGGTCAATTATTCAGAGGGCCGTCCCGAACAGTAATCACTATTGATGCCAGTCTCTCTGGCTGGAGGGCGCATTTATAGTCACAGTTGGCCCAAAGCCAGTGGTCTGTTTTGGAGAGGGGAAAGAACATTAATTGGTTAGAATTGAGAGCGGTTCAATGGACTCTCAAGAAATTTAGAAACACCATACAACACACACATCCTAATTTTAACAGATGTAGTCATCAACAGGCAGGGTGGCACCAGATCTAGGACTTTAATGTTAGAGGCTGAATGTTTGAGTCATTGAGCGGAGAGGAATCTCCTGTCAATCAGGGCAGAACACATCTCTGGGGTGGAAACTGTGCAAGTGGACTGGCTTAGCGGGGCCAAGATTTCCCCTTCAGAGTGGAGTATTCCCCCCTTTTATTTCAGGAGCTGTCACAACGGTTTGGACTACCAGTGGTGGACCTGTTCGCATATCCAACCAATACCAAACTCCCAAGGTTTTTCACCAGGTTCGCAACCCAGGGGGCAGAACGGACCAATGCCCTCAGGAGCAGGTGGCCTCAGGGTCTCCTGTATGCCTTTCTTCCTCTTCCGCTGCTGCCAGCGGTAGTCAGAAAGATACTGGAGGAGGAGGCAGAGGTTATACTTCTGGCTCCTTACTGGCCCAGACGCCCTTGGTTTGTGATTCTGGTGAATCTCTTGACCACCCAACCATGGATAATCCCTCCTCACAAGGTGTCCCTACACCAAGGAGAAATAACCCACCCAGAGCCTCAGTGGTTCTATCTGACCGCTTGGAGGTTGAGCAGAGCACTCTGAGGAGACAAAATATATTGGGCCACCTGTACCATTCTAGCGGCTAGGAGGCCTTCAACCAACCACATCTATCAAGCCACATGGAAGGTCTTCTGCCAGTGGTGCATCAAGAATAGAATTTCCCCCACTTCGACTTCAGTAGCCAACATTCTGGATTTTTTACAAGAGGGTCTTGACGAAGGGCTCTCGGCACTCTACGCAGACAAGTGGCCGCCCTTTCTTCAGTATTGTACATACACAGGAAGGGGTCCTTGTCTCACAACCAAATCATCTGGAGGTTTTTAAAAGGGGCCACCAACCTTAGACCTCCTGTGGTTCACAGATTCCCCACTTGGGATCTTCCTAAGGTGCTAAGGGCCTTCATGGCCGAACCTTTTGAACCGCTCAGGTCCATTAGTTTAAACTTCCTATCTCTCAAAGTAGCATTTCTAGTAGCCATCACTTCGGCTAGAAGGATCTCAGAGATGGCAGCCCTTTCAGTTACGAAAGATTTGTGTGTCTTCCATCCAGATAGAGTGGTTTTGCGGTTAGACCCATCTTTCACCCCTAAGATTAATTCTAGGTTCTACAGGGCTCAAGAGCTTATTCTCCCAAATTTCTGCCCCAATCCTACCCATAATTTGGAACGGGCATGGCACCCCCTGGATGTCCATAGAGCCTTAAAGATATACATCCAGAGGACACGTTCTATCTGGAAGTCGGAGGCACTTTTTGTGTCCTTCCAGTCGGGCACAAAGGGGTTTAAAGTGTCTCCATCGACAGTGAGAGATAGATTAGGGCTTGCATTGCTAAGGCTTATCAGAGCAGGTCTCTCCTGGTGCCTCGAGGGGTGACAGCTCACTCTATTAGAAGTGCGGCAACAACTGCAGCATGGGCTACTCAAGCACCCATTGAAGAGATTTGTAGAGCGGCTACATGGTCTTCACCATCACCCTTCATTCGGCATTACCACTTGGATGCTTTTGCATCAGCCAATGCAGCTTTTGGCAGGAGGGTTCTACACAGCGTGCTCGAACGCCAATGTGAGTAGGACCAGACTCATGCTCTCCCAGGGACCGGCCAGCTTTGGTACATCCCTATCTATCTGGACTCTCAGAGCCACAGATAGGAAAATGAACATTGGCTTACCTGAATGTTTGTTTTCTTCTGTGGCACAGAGAGTCCAGCCCCACCCTGGTTTGACTGGTCTGGGTGGGGGTTGGGGGAGCAATAATGTATGTTCTTCCAGAATCACGTCCAGTCGGCCAAGTGCTTTGTCGAAAGCTGGAGCATGGCCATGGTGCAGGGCGGAGCTTCAGGTTTAACACAGACTCAGTCCAACAGGGCAGGAACTGATTTAACCCTATCTACCTGGACTCTCTATGCCACAGAAGAAAACGAACATTCAGGTAAGCCAATGTTCATTCTCAGCTACAATAAAGTCATTTTGCTTTTTTCAACCAGTCATTTACTCATTTTGTTAACATTTTATTGTTATCATTAACTTTTTAGGAATCAAAGCATATTTTTGCCAGTATTTTTGTTAGGATATACACTTACATTATTTCTCAAAGTTTGCTTCTTTTACACAACTTGAAGGGGGTCTCTATCTCTTTCAGAAACGATGATATTGATCTTATTCATAAAATACACAGCCAACATTTGTTGCAGTTTTAACAAAAAGCCTCGTTCAGTGTTACTGTGCTCGCACAAAATTACAGAGATCCCTCTGGAAACAGCACCAAGTACCTCATGGTGGGACATCTCTCCTATAATGCAATGAGAACGGTCTTTTGGGATGGAGCATTTGAGCAAGGTTTATTTGTTTACAATTTTTAAGTAAAACTATCCCCAGAGCCTGCCAGTCTTATGAAGTAGGTAAAACACTTTAAATGAATGATTTATGTTCTTAAATATGCAAAAATATCTGAAATACAGGCACATGCAGCAAAATGCCCAAAAGGCTTTCAGGAAATTTTTTCCAGATCCAGATCTCTGTATGCAAGTTATTGCATTACTGTAGTTAAGTTTATAAAAAATTGGGTTACTTCCAGCAAACCAGGTTCTTCATATTTCAAATAAATAGTGGATAAAGGATATTGCAGAAAGGGGGATATTAATATTTTATTTAGGCAAACTTAGCTAGTGAATAGTTCTACAATGCTAATAGAAAATTGTATTTCTCATCTACAAGAAAATCGGTTTTAGCAGACATCTATTTCAAAATCCTGTTTTAAAAAGCTTCTCACCAGTAACATAGAGATCACTTTCTGTGTCTTGTAAAATACTTGCTCCTGAACCAGCACAAAGAGCAACCACCTTCACTGAGGATTCTACAAAAAGAACAATTAGCATAGTTTAGGACTGCACGTTTTGTGGTTAGTTTTGGTTTGTTGTTTTTCCTGAGATGATGCAGAGTGGATGGGTAATGAATTAAAGATTGCAGGTTAGAATACATGACTGGACCAATAGTTGTTTCCCTAGGCCTTTAGTAATCCTGCAAATCCTTTGGTGTTCCTTATAGACAGGTTCATTCATCTTCAGTTAAAAAGAGAACTGCTAGTCAGAGCAATTCTAATTTAGATAGGACAATTGCTCTGTGTTAAGTAAAAGTAGGCAATATAAGATAGCATCTTAGAGTGCAGTTGCAACACAATGTGATCAAATAAGATTTTGAAGTATAATGATGGATGTGGATTGCTTTTTTTCACATTCTATGAAGAGGAACTCTTATTGTTTTTAGTCTAAAGATGTCCTTTCCAAACATTTTAAATATGCTAAATTTTCAAATAAAGTTCCCTTCCCCACAACCCAAGTTATTTAAATAACTGGCCTGGCTGAACCAGACTAATTTTATTTAATTCCATAGCAGAGCACTAATACTTTACCCTAAAACAATCAGTGGGAAATACTGTTTGATGTTTTTATAAGTGGCTCTTCTGAATGTATTAGTCAAACAAATCACTTCAAAATAGATGCATCTTGATTTTGCCCTAATAAGCACCATCTCACAAAATAAAGCACCATGAATGGTTTAGGTACCAAGTAGCAAAAGTCCACTGCCAACATAAAATGAGAAAGTAAATATATACCCAGTGATTTCCCTGCTCCAAGAGCTAGACGAATATGAGACAATTTTAAGTGACTTTTCAATCGTTCAATCAAAACAGAAACAGAGGCTGGTTCGTGCAATGTGCATAAACGTCCCATTCCAGTATCAGCAAGCAGAGGCTGAAAAGAAGCCAAAAATTGAAATGGTTACAATGAGGGTGCTCTGGCAGTTATCCTGCTGTAATAACAAAGGCAGGTTTAAATAAACCTGTTTTCCTAAGTACAAGATATATTAAAGCATCATAACACATTTCACGATTTGTCCTTGACATGCACCTATGAGTTGAATATAGCTGTCAATCTTTTGCAAATTTAATTGGGATCGAGCCCCTTTTGAAAGAGACTAAACATGTTTAGGTTGGATTGTAACACAACTATCCCATATGCACCAAATTACTCAATGATTATGCTTGTCCTATTTCCAGATCTGACAAATGACATACAAGTAGTCTTGATTTATAACCATTTGTTTGGTGACCAAAGTTCCAATGGCACTGAAAAAAGTGACTTATGACTGGTTTCACACTTACAACTGTTGTATCATCCCCATGGTCACGTGATAAAAATTTGGGCACTTGGCATCTGGCAAAGTCAATGGGGGACGCCAGATTTGCCTCACTTGATTCACTTAACAACTGTAGTGATTCACTTAACTGTGGCAAAAAGATTGTAAAATGAAGCAAAACTCTTTTAACAACTGCCTTGCTTAGCAATGAAAATCTTGAGCTCAGTTGTGATAATAAGTCAAAGACTATTTGTACTTAATACCCAAAGTCTCAGAAAAGAATGGACAAGCATTTCAGCACTCCAGTTGCTGCTTACGCAAATGGTAAAATAAAGATGGGAAAATGGATTTTTTTTTTGGAGCTATGAAGCTTATTTAATTATATGCTTAAAGAAAAGATGGGAAGAGAATGCAAAAATTGAAGATGGCTCTATTAGATGTTGAAATCATTTGAGCCTGTACCTTATGTTCTCTCAGGAATGGCTGGGATGGAGAAATAATAAGTGGCTGGTCCCCCTTTTTCAAAACACAGTATACTATTGATACAGTCACAGTATCTCTTAGCAATCTTCTCTTATTGGTACTTTCTTCAAACTTCCTGAATATACTAGGAAACTGCAGCAGTATCTTCAAAGAATCCCTTTTATTTCTACTGGAAACAGAACATCTCTTTGCTAAATTATTTCTTTCACTTTCTTGCTAAGCAACCTTCCTCCATCACATCACTATATCTTCATTTATTCTTTTTGCAGCTATGCACACTCTCTGTGAAAATAAACTTTGATTTGCTCATCTGTGGTTTACCTTCTCTAGTGATATGATTTCAGTTGTTTGATACAGCAGGCTCTTCTGGGAAAGCAAGGCCACCACTTGCAACAAAGCGAGCCGAGAACAGTTCAAGCTGACACGTGTTTGTTCTTCTCCTTCAATCCTTGGAAATTTGGAACAGAAATATTAATAAAAAACCTTACAATACACTGCAAAAATGAATATATAAATGTTACCTCCAGTTCTCTCACGAGTGGATCACAATATACATTGCTTTTAGTAATTATACACAAGCCAAACCACTCCCACCATTCACAACCTTTGGCAGGTAAGTTTAAGCAGGACTTATGCCATCTGTCAAGTCACCTGGCAGCTATATGAAAATGCTGGTTGATACCATTCATAGATTTGAACAAGGATAGGACACTATCTAAGGCAGATAATGCTGCTGTCATTTCCATCTATTTGTGTCTTCAGCTCACATGGAGGGGGAAGAGTGGGCCACTTTTGTGTGGAGAAAGGCCATGTTCTTGGAGATGAATGTGTGATAAGTATGGGAGTGGGTCTAATTCAAAAGCATGGCCCTTAGAGACTATGGAGCTCCTTCCTGGGTTCTCAGGTGTTTGATTATCTGTCCCCTTCTACCTCAGCACCAAGATCACAGACAGGAAACTAGACATTTTATCAGCGAGAGCCAGTTTGGTACTACACTGTTTAAGGAAGCGGGCCAGAAGTTAGGAGATTGCAAGTTCTAGGCATGAAAACCAGCTGGGTACTTTGGACTAGTCATTCTCTCTCTGCCTAACCCACTTCACAGAGTTGTTGTGGGGGAAATACAAGGAGGAAAGAATATTATGTATGTTTTCTGCCTTGAGTTATTTATAAAAAAAATAAATGCAGTAATCAATGAAAACTGTGACCCACCACCCAAAAACGTAGGACCAAAGTATATCATTGTGCTTTTTATAATTCTGGTTGCAAATTTAATGCTTGGCATTGTTGACTAATTGTTGGAGACCCACTCCTATCAGATCAGACAATATTTGGCTAGAAAAGTTAAAGTCTGGCATGAGAAGAGGTTGCTTCTTTGTTTATGGCATGGAAGGATAAGCTCATGCTTATAATTTAATATGCATCTTATTACTTATAGTGGTCTTAAAAATGCTCCTAGCTTTCAATTAACTTACTTGTCTTGAAATGTAATACAAAGTAGCATGTCTCATCAGATGTACATCTAATACTTAGGAAAAACACTGGTTTCTTGGAATATGGTCTTAAAGTAAAAATATGTTATTACGTAGAAATCAAAACTTGTTAGTTTGATATTTCTGAAATAGGCTAAAGTTACCTGATTAAGTTAGAATATTTTTGCAAGCTGTTTAAGCTATTATCAAATATTTTCTGTATAACTCAAAGAGGGAGGATATAAAGTACAGTGCCTTTTAGCACAATAAAATAATACATACTACTTACTTTCTATACATTCTCAAAAATGTTGTCTGGTCATAGATAAAGAACCTGCTCTTTTATCATATTAAAATTTGTCAGTCAACGAAAATAACCTAGGCTGGTCTCCAGCAATACCTGGCAGGTTGAGTTGCGATGAGTGACACCTCTGGCATTGCATGGACTTGGGATAAAACTGTTTCCAGACTTTCAGCAGAGGATACAGTGAATTCAACCCGGAAAGGCCCACCTACAGGGTAAGTGGAAGCTGTAGCCGGTTTCAAAGGAACAGCAGTGCAAGCCCCTGAGGAAAAGCAGAACAAATTAAATACATTGCACAATATTCTTGTTCAGGGTTTTACCTTGCCAAACATCAAATTACATGCCTTCCATAACATTGTTCCCAGTATATTGTTGTTAACTTACGGAAAGTTGAGGTTTATTGCAATGTACCAGTATTATCATAACATATAAGAATATTCTAATTCTTCATATTATAATGGCTGCTGAAGGATATAATGAATGCTAAATACAGCAATTAATTATAGACCTTAAACCAGTGATCCCCAACCTTTTTTATGCCGCGGCCCGGTACCGGCATCAGCTGGGCGCCGCCATCTTTTTTTGATGAAAAAGTGCTTCCGGTGACCTCACCGGAAGCACTTTTTCATCAAAAAAGATGGCGGCGCCAGCACTTCCGGTGAGCTTTTCCAGGTAGAAATGGCTTTCTACCCAGAAAAGCTCACCGGAAGCGCTGGCACCGCCATCTTTTTTTGATGAAAAAGTGCTTCCGGTGAGCTTTCTACCCGGAAAAGCTCACCGGAAGCACTTTTTCATCAAAAAAAGATGGCGGCGCCCAGCAACCAGCGGCCCGGTAGGACTTGTTCCGCGGACCGGTGGTTGGGGACCCCTGCCTTAAACTACTGCAGAGCGTAAAAATTATTAAACTACCATTGTTTTTAAATCACTTGCAAGGAAATGGCAGAGGAGGGGCAGAGATCTTTAATTCCAGATCATCCATGTTTATGATTTATATAGATCACATAGTAGGTTTTGGACTTTTGGCCATTTATATGTTCATACTATTTGTGCACAGAATATTGAGATGTTAGTACCCTCTTTGGATTGCCCTACTTCATGAATTTGAAGTAGTAGAATTAAAAGAGTAATATCACATCAGTCCTTTGAAAAGGTGTCAATTAGATGATTATCATATATGTTTTCCATTTTGAAGCACCAGCCCTTTACAGAATATGTTTTCTTAGGGCAAAATCATAATTTTAAGAAATTATTTAAAGCTACATTCAAGCTCATTGTTCCTTGAGAGAAATATAAGGCAATTCAGTGTCCTAGTAACTATGTGTATAGAGCCGTGATGGCGAAGGCACACAGAGCCATTTGTGTGGGCAGGTGAGCCCAAGGCAAACTTACCTCACTGCGCATGCGCACACCTCTCAGCTGATTTTTGGGCCTTTTTCAGCCTCCCAGAGGCTTGAGGGAAGCCTCTGCAGGCTTTGGAGGCCAAAACACAGGCCTATTTCACAGGCCTATGTATTTCCAGAAATACCACAAGTGACAAAACGGGCCCATTTTTCGGCCTCTAAAGGCTGCAGAGGCTTCCCTTGAGCCTTTGGGAGGCCGAAAAAGGCCCAAAAATCAGCTGGGAGGCGCATGCATATGCAGTGCAGGTAAGGGGGCGGCAGGGGGATCGCACGTGCATGGGGCGTGAGGGGGGGGGCGTGCGCATTGCCTTCTGGGTGCTGGCAGCACAGGAGCCAAAAAAGGTTAGCCACCATATAGTAAGAGTATAGAATATAGAAGAAGGCGTTGACAAAGATATGCAGGAGCTATTGGCTAAGCTAAAGAAGCTAAAGAGCTTTTTAATTCCAGAATGTCCAGGTATCATTTGGAGATAGTTAAGACAGACATATTCTAATTCACTTGAGTGTAATAAAGAGTATGGCTGTGAAAGTTGGACCATAAGGAAGGCTGAGCGCCAAAGAATTGAGGCCTTTGACTTATGGTGCTGGAGAAAACTCCTGCGAATCCCTTGGACTGCACGGCCATCAAACTGGTTAATCCTAGAAGAAATCAACCCTGATAGCTCTTTAGAAGGTCAGATCCTGAAGATGAAACTCAAATACTTTGGCCACCTAATGAAAAGAAGGACTCACTGGAGAAGAGCCTAATGCTGGGAAAAAATGAGGGCAAAAGAAGAACGAGACGGAAGAGAATGAGGTGGCTGGCTGGAGTCACTGAAGCAATAGGCGTGAGCTTAAATCGACTCCAGAAGACGGTAGAGGACAGGAAGGCCTGGAGGAACGTTGTCCATGGGGTCGCGATGGCTCGGACATGACTTCGCGACTAACAACAACAATAAGAAAGAGGTGAGACACAGCACAATTCTGCTTAAATCAATAAAAGCTCTTTTAGCTTTTCTATGGAGTTGATTTCATGGCCTGGTCTACATGGTAGGATTGATAGTATGGAGAGAGGAGAGAGGAGCTCTCTACAAATGATAGTATACTTCAGTCTAGTGTTTTGTCATTGTTTAAAATAATATCCATTACTTGTCTTTTTTTCCCTAAGAAAGAACAAAGATTTTAGTTATCTAACAGTCCTGCTGACACATTTCAACAGAAATTTATAATGTAAAATCTTGGCAAGAATACAAACATAACATTTTAAAACATGAACATAAGCCAAACACGAAGTTGATAATAACATTTTAAAACATAAAATGTTATTATCTACTTTATGTTTGGCTTGTGCTTATAGATTCTTATTTTACATATAGTGTCATTATTAACAAGAATGCCTCACCCAGTCCTGTAGCAAGCCAGTCATTGACTCCATTAGGTATAGCATCATATGTCGTGTGAGGAGAATAAACGCCAACTCTATTTTCCAAGGCTCGGATTACCAAACGCTCCTTCCATGTTTTCCATGTTATACGTTTCAGTGGGTGGAAAATGGGTGGGTGATAAGAAAGAATGAGATTTGCTTTCTTCTCTAGGACTTCCTGCATCACATCCTCAGTTAAATCATTGGTGAGAAAAAGGGTATTGACAATATGAGGAGGACTTGGCTCAATCAAGAGCCCCACATTATCCCAACTTTCAGCCAGGGAAAGCGAAGCAAAATCGTTTAAGGAGGTAACAAGGTCTTTCAAATCCATGACGAAGCGCAAAGGCTGAACAATCAAGGAGGGTGTTTGCAAAAAAGGTCGTGTAATCAGCTTCAAACAGGCCAGCGACATTCAGATTTCTAGAAAACCCAAAAGCAAAAACATTGCCAAAAGGAAAAGAAAGCACAATCTAATAAAAGAGAATATCAGTGGCTCAGGACTGAAATATGGAGTTCTATTGCTCTCTGAGCTTGGTTGTTTGCTTACAGAGAGAGGTTCACCTGACTCAGAAACATTATCAGTGCAAGTGAATATGGAGTTAGCAAGAGCTAACATGTTAATAAAAGCACAGATGTGGGATTTGTTGCATGTTTACATGTAGCAGCTTGCCCTGCCAGGTTTTTTTTTTGGGGTGTGTGTGTTGTAATTTCCTCCTTAAGGGTTCCTTACAGTATGGTTTTGCCTGTTTGTCTAGTGTTGATCCCTGCTTATCTGAATGTAGGCTATTGGAGGGGATGTGTTCTTATTTCCTTCTTAGGTTTTTTATTATCGCCTTTGAATGTTATGTAAATGTGGTTCATCTCTATGTGTCTATTAATCGCTATTAATCTGAATGCCAAGCTTCCAGGAATTCCCTAGCAGGTTTGGATTTGGCTTGGTCTATCAAGCTGTGAAAGTAAGGAGCTTTTGTCACACAACATACGGATGAACTCAACTCCAGTTTCAACTGTGAAACTATTAGCATCTTGAACCTAGGAAGGAAATAAGAAGAGTAGAACACATCCTCTGCAACAGCCCTCATATAGGTAAGCGGGAATCAACACCAGACAAGAGGAAACTACACTCCCACCAAAACTGGCAGTACCAGCTACTACATGTACCGTATTTTTCGGAGTATAAGACACACCCACTTTTTTGGGGGGGGGGGGGTGCGTTTTATACTCCAAAAAATACAGTAAATACATTCCTAGGCAATTTTCAAGCACAGTATATTCTTGGAAAGTCTTACTTCAAGAAGGGAGAATGGATAATATCTTTGATTTCTGGCCTTAAAAAAGAATGAAAAAACCCCACCCAAATTTCTATTTTCCTCACATTTTGTTGTGTGGTTCAATCTTGTGCATTGACAATCTTGTGCCTTCAATGGTGCTGTCAACTATTCAGTGCTATCAGGTAGCAGAGACAGAGGAGCAAGCTCCCTAAGAAGGTGGGCCAAAAGTAGCGTCCAAGGAAGAAATAATCAATGACCCCCCCATTTATACGTAGGCAAACAGGAGATTGTTCTCTTTAATCTCAGGATGTTTCCTACCATTCCCATCTGACCTTTTCCTTACTTTTCCTGTGCAGGTGAGCACTTACTTGCTTATTAACTAGCAATTACCCATAGAGGGCCCAAGATACTTACTAAATTAAAAAAAATGTTGAGAATTTGCTTTTACAAAATGGTTGGATTCCCAGTTAGTTTTCCTTAAAAATGTTTAAAATGGGGAGGTAACAAGACCAGCTGTAGTTCCATGTAACTAGATTACAGCAGATGCACTATAACTTCCTAAAATAATAAATGAATTTGCATGACTTTCTCACAACTCATGATTTCACTGGTTGGACAAGAAATATTTTATTCCACATTTACTTCATATAATTCAAGATGGGCACATATAATTCTCCTCCCTATTTTCCTACTTTTGATAATTAAATGTTCATATGCACACCTCCAGACTTTTAGTTTGATGGGCTTATGCAGTCAAAGCAGGAAACGCTGCTGGATAAAGCCACAATGCAATTTGTTTGGCTTTGAATTAACTCATCATGTGAACCTTGGTGTTTGAAAATCCTAACTGATGGTTTAGCGTTATGAATGAATCCAGATGTGTCATCTTTAACAAAATAAACACAAAATTCATCTTAGGTTTGTCCAAGATAAAAACAGGATTGTTAATCATATTACCGCAATATCATCATACTGTCAACTCATAAAATATTTCTCTGGTCTTTTTAGAGTTGCCAACAGAAAAGGAGGGGGGGAGCAGTGCGGCAGCTTGCAAAACCGAAACTGCATTCCATAAATGTTTTCAAAGATAGTAACTAGGTGACCGAAGTTTCTGCCGCAGAAAATTCTAACTGGAGAGCATAATTGATGACTCTTGGCTATGGATGTGTCCTGTTGGAGAATATGAATTACAATACACCCAGGGAGTGGGGGGAAAAACCAGCAATCCAATTGGGTGGACCTCCTGCTTTTCGTGGAGGTCACGTACAATAATGCTGTTCACAGTAGCATGGGTCTAACCCCCTTCAAAGTAGTGAGTGGTATGGACTTTGCCTGAGTATCTAAGGAATCCCCCCTCCTCAGTCAGCCTGATCGATTGGGTGTCAACTCTGAAAGCAACTTGGGAGAATGTCAAAAAAGTGCTGGCAAAAGCGGCACAGAGCTATAAGAGATAGGCAGACAAACACCGAGCCCCGCAATGGCCATTCCAGATGGGGGAGAAGGTCTACCTCTCCACCAAATACCTAAGGTTAAGACTCCCTAGCAAGAAATTGGGACCAAAGTTCATGGGACCATTCCCCATAGTAAAGGTCATCAGCCCAGTCACGGTGCAACTGAAGTTGCCCCGATTGTTAGGGAAAATACACCTGGTATTCCATAGTAGTCCTTAAAACCCGTGGTGGGATCGACCCTGAGGCCTCTACCTTGTGAACCCCCAGATTCCGTGGTCATAGGAGGCCAAACCCATTATAAGGTGCAGCGAATCCTCAATTCGAGGTGGGACAGGAGACAATTCCAATTGTAATCAAGTGGAACCGGATACCCCTTATCAGAGGCATCTTGGGTAAAGAGTAGGAATGTCCCAGCCGATCGCCTTGTGATGAGGTTCCATGCGGAAAACCCAACCAAGCCTTGGGGAGTGGGTGGGGGGTGTTTCACAATCCTAAGTCCCATACCTGTAATAAATTTGTTTTCTTTCTGTGTTGTACAGATCATCTTCAAGAAGTGAGGGGAGCCGAATGTCAACTCATAAAATATTTCTCTGGTCTTTTTAGAGTTGCCAACAGAAAGGGGGGGGGGGGCAGTGCAGCAGCTTGGAAAACTAAAACTGCATTCCATAAATGTTTTCAAAGATAGTAACTAGATGACCAAAGTTTCTGCAGCACAAAACTCTAACTGGAGAGCATGATTGAGGACTCTTGGCTATGGATGTGTCCCATTGGAGAATATAAATTACGATACACCCAGTGGGTGGGGGGGAAAACCAGGGTCAAGGGTGACAATGAATTATGTGTCTCAGAGTCAGCTACACCCAGGCAGTGTTGGCATGTTAACTCCCAATAAATCCTTTTTAAGTTTTGGAAGTTTGGTTCGAGACTCAAGATTTAAATGGGGATAACTGCCGGAATCCTGATACATACATTCAGAAAGAAAAATCCTACATTCCCCAATGGAGCAGTAAAGTTTGATTTCCGAAGAGCAAGCTTTTTAAAACAATAAAACCGGCTTAGAAAGTTATGAGTCATGAAGGCAGGGGTGGGTTTCTACCGGTTCTGTCCACCTCTGTAGAACCGGTAGCTCTGAAGAGCAGCAGACATAGAACCAGTTCTATGTCTGCTGATGTTGTTGCTCACCCGCCCACCTGGGATCTTACCTGATCTTTATTTCCTGATTTTTTCAACTTCAGCTGCGGAACAAGGCACAGCTGAAAAATGTAGAGTTGTAATCGCAGGAATGTTCCAATCTCGGATGGCAAACCTCAGATAAAGAATGTTTTCAAGCAAATACAACTCAGGTAAACAAAGTCACTAATCTAAAGGAGGATTAGAGAGAGGAAGTAAACATATGTTAGACTTTAACTAACTAGTGATTTAGTTAGTGATAATTAATCTTTAATCTTTATCACTTTAACTAGTGATAATTAATTGTATGGATTACTGTGCTAAACAGAAACGAAAGTTAAGCAGTAACCAAAGTTAACCAATGATGGAGGATAATTAAAAATGTGTATAAATGCAAGACTAGACTCCAATAAAGATCATCATGATTCAGTTGTTCATGATCAAACAACTTGACTGCCTCGTCATTACAACAGAAAAAAACAAGAAAAGAGGGCTGTGTCAAAGGCTGCTTCTGGGCAGCAGCGTGCTAATGACGTGCTAATGACGATTGACAGGCGCGAGGCTCACAGTGGGCAGGGAAGCTCGTAAATCCCGAACCGGTTGTTAACCCTGTCGTATCCCACCCCTGCATGAAGGTCACATCTCCAGAATTATTCAGATCTTTCAAAACAGCTATTGTTCATCTAAGATGAAAATATCAGATCAGGAAAGCTGCAGTCAAATCCACGAGAACGATAGAAATGTGAACATGTTATTCGAAACAAAGTCTGTTTTAAAGATGGATATCTTGTCCAACAGAGAATTAACTCAACTGTAAACCTTGGCAAAATAAATGTGATAACCATTATTCCTTCTGCCTTGCTTCCCCCCTCCCCTTTTCAATATTCATCTATTATCACTGATATGCATTGGTTTTGTGAACGAATTCCTGAGATAAAGCATGAGAAACGTCAAAAAATACGAAGTAACAGTCCTCTTTCCTGGGCAACCACCGAGAGAAAAGCAGGGAGGAAAAAAAAAACCTTTCTCAACTCCTTACTATATTAAACCCTGTCGTATTTTAATTCGTGGAAGGATTGCACGACTCAAACCAATGGGTATTTCCTCCCAGCTAAGCTTTCCTAGTTTTGAGAGCCCCCTCAATCAAGAACAAGAATTTGCAATCGCCACCACAGCCCCGCGCGTCACTTGCAGCTGCCTTCTTACCCAAACAGCCAAGCTTTCGTCAGATTCTTGAAACGAATCGCGTCATTCTCCCCGTCCTGGAAAAACACTACTGCGTGTGAACCACGTCCTCAACTCGCGTCTTGCACGCGCGCATTTAGGCAAGCCGGCGGTGGGCGGCCGGTCAGAGAGACCCAAGCACCTCCTTCCCCACCACCGCGGAGGTGGAACCCTGCGCTTCGCGGGAGGAAGGCCGAGTGCGGCGGCGGATCCGCAGGCGGGGCCTAAATGCAAGAATGCAAGATACTATGGGAAGGCGTTGGGCGTGCATTTGGCCTTGCGCGCCTTCCTCGCGGGTCCGAAGACCTGGCCTGGCGAGTTGAGAGGCGGTCGGAATTCTCCTCGCTTTTGCCCCGTCGGGGTGTCTCGCGAAAATATCGCCCCTTCTGCTGCAGCCGTCTGACTGGAGCAGCGAGGAAATTCCCAAAGCCTTTTTAGCCTGAGAAACCGCTCTGCTCCACCTGGATTTCTTTGCCATGTGCTGTTTCTCCGCTGGTTTCAGAAGTGCTGCTTTTCGGGACTCCTTCTGACACGGACGCATTGTTTTCTACCCGCTAACCGGCAAAGATGGTGAGGTTTGCGGCTTCAAGACCTTCCGTACCGCGTATAAGGTGTACGCGGGGCTCCAGATCTCACGGAACAGCCTTCCATTTACCAAATACTATTGCTTCGCGCCCATATACAAGTTCACTATAGAATCGACTTGGTATTTTTGGACATAGGGAGTTTTGAAAGACGGATCCCTTGGCCAGATCTTGGGTGAAACGTTTCCCAGAGGCGTTTTGACTAGACCTCATCAGCAATCCAACATCCATATTCTTTGGGCTTTTAACACCGAAATCAATGAATACCCATGCCTTGTGATCTCTGTGGAGAAAGATCAAACACCTGCCTGCTTGAAGATCAGTATAAAACTTGATTTATATCTTATGGGTGTTGGATCTCCAATTAGCCTTGCTGAGAAGATGATGATGAAAAATTATAATAATTGTAGTACTGACTTGCCTGGATGATTTTAGCCCTACCACTCTATAAACATGACTAAAGCTGAGTCCAACCTATTGTACACACCCATTCTGGGCCTGACATTTAAAATGCAGAAAATTGATGGTAGTATATTCTCTACAAAAGAACTATGAACTGGTATTTAAGTCCAACAAGGTACTCTTAAGAATTTGTTGGACTGGAACTCTGTTATCCCTTAGAAATTAATTAATGAGAGGCACATATGCACTGTATTTCCTTTTACAGTCAATTATTTTAATTGGATTGCTGTAGTACATTTGACTTTTGTCTGCTGCAAAAAAATAATATAGTTCAATTCCTTCTGCAGGCTGTCACATTGCACACTGATGTTGGAGATGTTAAAATTGAGTTATTCTGTGAACGAACACCAAAAGCTTGTCAAGTAAGTCATGAAAATAAAAAATAACATTGAATTGAGGAACAATTCAGATTTTATAAATAAAATGCTCAGTATAAGAGAATTTATAAGACAACAAACTATGGTAGATATGCTTTGTTGATCTTCCTTAAGCTCATTCCAACCCTATATTTCTTTAATCTGATGCAGCTAAGATCAGAATTCTTAGGTCCAATTTATTGGCCATGCTTGCTTGGAAATTTTAGGAACTACAATTTCCAAAGATTTAGAAGGTACTAACCATTTTCATGTCTTAATAGGCATTCTCCTGCAATTTATAAAGTTAACTGCCTAATCCTTTTATATCTATACATTCAGTTTTGACTAAATAAAACCAGATAAACTTACTATTTCTGACGTTTTACAGCTCTGCATTGAGCATTTTCATCCATTTTAGTTCATACCTTTTACTTGCATTCTATTAACTATGATGTATTTAAATGACATAGCTGTCAAAATATGTTTTAGAACTGATTTGTTTGACTTCTCACTAACAGTGAGGGCTTAGCTGCAGAAGAGAGAAGGAAACATGAAAGGCATATTCAGATTTCACTGAGCCCTATTTAAGCACGGCATTTGGTCATGGCTGTTATGGCTACGGAAGTCTTTGGAATGAGTATAAATATTTTGTATCATGGTTTGTTTCTTAACTGACTTTCTGCTTCTTTTCTTAGAATTTTCTGGCTCTCTGTGCTAGTAACTACTACAATGGCTGTACTTTTCATCGAAATATCAAAGGCTTTATGGTTCAGACAGGAGACCCAACTGGTAATACCCTTTATGAAAATTAAATATATTATGCCATTCTCTTGAAGCAAGACTACTTTACTGTTAAGAAAAGCATTTTATTACAAATATGAACATGATAATTATAATTTTATGTATTTACTATGTAAATTTTGCAAACTGATTTGCCTAAGTTGGTTTTTTTAATACCCAGATGAGCAGAGATTAATATCTATATTAACATCAGACCAACAATAAGCAGGCAATATTCCAATCAAGGAAGGGCTAAGCAAGCTAACCCCAACACCACCAACAGCCAACAGCCAACAGAGGGAGCCACTAGAATATAAACAAACAAAGCAAACCCCACTTCCTGCCCAATTGATAATGGGTAATGAAATGTCTGCAAGAAAACACCCAAGAAAAAACTATGGTTCAGGGAGCACCAAAAACCCCTCTGTAATTTTTTTAAAACTTGAATTTAAAAAAGTAAGCAGGGGCGGGGAAAACCCTTCTATTGTATAGGTAAGTATATTCAGCAGATCTAAAAAAAAATAAACCCACACAAACATTTTGAAATTATAAACTACTGGGATTTAAGAGTTCTTTTAAACTTAGGCGTGCCTGCAGTTTGAGCAGCTAGCATCTGTTTTTTAGAAACTCCACCCGAAATGTGAGAAGAAAACTCCATCTTATTTATTACTTTTTTGGGGTGTGTGTGGAAGGGAATTGGGTGAGATACACCTTTTGGGCTAGAGAGGAAGATACCTGGATTTATGGAGATATTTGTGCTATTCACTTTGTGCCTTGATTTTGGAGCCCACTTGATCCATGTATCTGTTTCTTCCCCTTTTTCCCTGGACCCATCTCTTTCTGATTATATCAGGTTCTGGGAAAGGAGGAATCAGTATTTGGGGCAGGAAGTTTGAAGATGAATACAGTGAATACTTGAAGGTGATTTTCTTGACATTGCAGTTCCTTGTTCAAGTTGTACATTTTGTTTTTAAAAATTACCTAAGAATAACTACGAACTTAACTATGGAAGATCACATTGATTACTTGATTCCAGAGGTGGTATTCAACCGGTTCGCACCTATTTGGGTGAACTGGTAGCAATTATTTGGCGTGGGTCGCCGAACCGGTAGTGACCCCTGGCTGGCCACGCCACTGACCCGGTCTCCCAGTCGCTCACTTGCCCCGGTCGCTCTCTTAGCTTTCCCTACCATGTGGTGGCTGTGGCGCAGCTCGGGTGGATGTCCCAGGGCTGCTACACATGCGCACTGCATGTGCAACCACTACACATGCAGTGTAGTGCTCCTCCTGGAGCACATTTTCTTCCTTCTCCTGACAGACGCGCCTCTTTCAGCCCGGCCCAGCCAGCAGGTGGGTGAGTGGATATTCCAGGGGTCCTCTCCTCACTTGTCATGAGATGCCTGCAGCTGCTGTGTGCTTTATTTGGTGCGGCTGCAGTCTAGCAGCCGCTCTGAAAAAAAAACACCCTGTTCTATTTGCCGGGCTCGGCAAGTCTAAGCAGCCGGCACATAGAACAGGGAGGGGCCGGACCATTGGAGAAGCGGAGCCGAGCCGGAGATCAGTAGCCACCTCTTTTGCAGCACAGAAATCCTCCCCGAATGGGCCAGCTGGTCGTCTCCTTCTCTGCCATACAGAACAAATAGGCAGAGAAGGGGACGACTAGCCAACCGATTTGGGGAGGATTTCTGTGCTGAAAAGGCGACTGGAGACCGAAAAAAAGTCGCCTCCAGCAGCCGCCCCTTTGGCCAGCTGATCTCCTCCTCGGCCATATAACACAAACAGGTAGAGAAAGAGAACACTAGCCAGCCAATTTCTTTTGTCCCCCTGGACTGCCGCCACCCATATCCTCCTTCTCCCCGGGTGGGGGGGGAAAGGAACAACACGAGGTAGTGAGGGCAGGGGGGGAAAGGGCGGAGGGGGGGAACTTGCCTGGCCACCGGGTTGCTTCTTTCCACTCCTTTTGTCTTCCGCTTTTGGCTGCACACAAGGAAAGCAGCAGAAGTTTTTTTCTCTCTCCCTCAAACTCCACCAGAAATGAGTCTTTGGGACCCTGCAAGGCATCCTGCTCCAGGAGGCTGCGCCGGCAAAGACTCATTTCTGGTGGAGTTTGGGGGGAGAGAAAGAAAGCTTCTGCTGCTTTCCTTGCATGCAGCCTGAGAACGGAGCTCAAAGCAGGCTAGGAATGGGGCTGCCTTGGAGGGGTGGGGGTGTGAGGGATCTGTGTGTGTGAGAGAGAGAGAGAGAGAGAAAGAATCACCAGCCCTCCAAGGTGAGTTCAGCTCTCTCTCTCTCCCTCCTTCTCCCTCCCACCAATGTCAGCAAGCCACATCAGTCAAAATTCACATTAACGACCCCTGCTTTAAAGTTCTCCAAGGATTCCCCATGGACGCTGCAATGAGTTAAAATGCCTAAAGCGAGGAGTGCGATCTGACAGGGGGTGGGGGAATTCACTCCAGCCTTGGAGAAATTTAAAGGAGCTGCTTCAAAATGCATGTCTGTTAAGCTACAAAAGTGCTCCGTGTGTGTGTGTGTGTGTGTGAGAGAGAGAGAGAGAGAGAGAGAGTGAGAAAGAAAGAAAAAATAGGAAGAGAGAGAGAGAAAACTCTCTACTATTATTTTTAATTGTTCCATTATTTATCATGTGTTAATATTTTACACTGTCCCTACACCTAGAGTGATTTTTCTGCCTTTCTTTTGCCCAGGGCTACCACATATTTTTCAGGGTTTACATGCATTCAATGTCAATAGTCCAGAGCATAAAATACACATGTGTTTAACAAGAGTTGAAAGGGACCTTGGAGGTCTTCTGGTCCAACCCCCCTAGCTCAGGCAAGAAAACTGACAATGCCAAACTCTGAGTAGAAATCCTGGGAAAGGTGTCAGAAGAATACTTAGAAGGGACCTTGGGATGAAACCTATACCATTTCAGAGAAATGGCTGTCCAGTCTTTTCTCAAAAACTTCCAGTGATTGAGCACCCAGAACTTCTGGAGCCAGGCAGTTCCACTGGTTAATTGTTCTCACTGTCTGGAAGTTTCTCCTTAGTTTTAGGTTGCTTCTCTCTGTTCAGTTTCCATCCATTGCTTCTTTGCATTCTGCTTCTTTGGAAAATACATTGTCCCCCTTTTTTTGTGGCAGCCCCTTAAAAGCCTGTTGCCTATCACACTCTTGAGTAAAGTATGTGAGCCATTTTCTCCTTTCAGTGGTCCATGAAAGTACATCTATAGTATGCAGATAATAAAGTCAAAAAAGGTGAACAACATTTTTACAGAACTATAGATAAGTTGAGGCTGGGTGACAAGAAATGGTGGGGAGGGGAGGGGCCAGGTGAGGCACCCCTTGATGTGAGTGACATGACCACCAAGCCAAACCCACCCAGTCACATGACCACCAAGCCACGCCCACCAAATAAACCACACCCACAGAACTGGTAAAAAAAAAATTGAATTCTACCACTACTTGATTCCCATTCCCTCTGGGAAAGGAGGATATTTGGAGATGGTGTAAGTTTGGGGCACGAGCAGGGGTGGGACTCTACCGGTTCGGAGCAGTTCTATAGAACGGTTATGATTTCCCAGTTCGGAGAACTGGCAAATCGTGCCAACGTTGCTGACTGCGTTCTTCCCCGCCCAATCACTCCTTAAGTTTTCCCCATCCCGACAATCAGCTGTTCCGATGATTAGCTGTGCCCCTCGCTGTCTTACTGCTTCACCAGGCTTCCCTGAGGCCCAGGGGGCAAAAAGGGGCATGGGGGAAGGGTGGGGTGGGGGGTGCTGCGCCCTCCCACGTTCCATTTTTTGCCTTCCTGGGCCCTAGGAAAGCCTGTCGGGAGCAAAAACTCCCCCCCAGAAGGCTTCCAGGAGGTCCAAAAACAGAGCGCAGGTCTTCCCAAAAACAGAGCCCCCCCCCCCCCCCCCCCTTTTTTTCCTTCCCGGGCCCCCGGGAAGCTTTCTGGGGGCAAAAAGGCCCCCCCCCCCGAAGGCTTCCCTGAGGCCTAGGAGGCAAAAAAATGGGGGAGGTGAAAAAAAGCCACGCCCACCCAGTCACATGGTCACGCCCACAGAACCGGTTGTTAAAAAATTTGAATCCCACCTCGGGCACGAGCGCAACTAGGAAATAGGACTGGTAATGCTTTAGGCAGACCCAACAGTCTTTTCCCTAGAGGAGTCATAATGCAAAATCTAAGTTTTATATAATTATACTTTGCTTTAGGGTTTCTATCCATCCATCAACAAATCCATACCTTTTACTTACCTGGGATGGCCAGAACAAAAGGAAACATTGTCAAAGTTATTGCAGAAACATATATTGGGTTTTTTTAATGAATTTTTGGAACATGTGCACTGACAAATTACTCAGAGGGTGTTGTAGTAGAAAACAGTAAAGAGTCTTATAGTCTCAAGTTTGGGAAAGGCTGAATTTAGCAAATCAGCCCAGAGATATGTCAATGTTTAGTTTTGTTTTATTCTGCAAACTACCTTAAGACAAAACTACCTTAATTCATGTTTAGTTTTATTCTGCAAACTACCTTAAGACAAAACAGAAAACTTAGAAATAAAAAAATATTTACCAGAGTACTTATGTTCTAATTTCCTGATTCACTTTTAGCACAGTGTCCGTGGTGTTGTTTCCATGGCAAACAATGGTCCGAATACAAATGGTTCTCAGTTCTTTATCACTTATGGTAAACAGCCACATCTCGACATGAAATATACTGTCTTTGGGAAGTAAGTAATGAAATACAAAATTATATACCATAGAGGTCCAATAGGGTGGAGACTGCATGATTTAGGGAACAAAAATTTTATCTCAGATATCTCCTTTACTACTTGTTAAGCAATCTGTCCCACCTGACCTTAGCTTTTTTTTAATGTATTTTTAAAAATGAAAAGCTGGCATGCCCAAACCAAAGCAACAACTATTCCGAACTAGGGTGTTTTCCAGATATACATGCAACTCCCAGAAATCACAGCAATGGCCATGTTCACCAGAGATTTTAGAAACATAACTCTACTATATAACAGTTATTTACAATAATCCCTGTGCGTCACATAGACTTTCTCGGAAAACTAAACTCATGGGTGACTACATGCCAGTGTTTTCCTTGGAAGTCTGTGAGTAGAGAATTTTAGATGGTAGCACAGCATGATAGAAAGTCATCTCACCATTCTGCCTTCTCTTTCAGACTTTTTGTCATCAGCCACAGGCATCATGGCAGCCTATTTGTAAATGAGCATGTATCCCCATAACAGCTTTTAACAAAGATGAGCGAAGATACATGCCTTTCTATGCAAGGAAATTCTCATTATTTTTTATTTCTCTGTGCAGAGTAATCGATGGCTTGGATACACTTGATGAGCTGGAGAAGCTGCCTGTAAATGAAAAGACATTCCGCCCCTTGAATGATGTCCATATTAAAGATGTGACAATTCATGCTAACCCTTTTGCTCAATAGCTGCAATGGACCAACTTTTTTTTTATTTGAACATTTCACAGGAGAGAAATTCCAGAGCTTGCTATTCAAACTGTTTAAAACCAAACATTTTTCTGTTTGTCCTATGATCCAGACAGTATACCTGGTTTGACTACAGTCTTCTCTTTTAACATTCACTTTTGTTAGTATTTCTAAAAATGTCATCTTTATTGGATTTATATATTGCTGAAGCATATTGATTCATAGCTGCATACAATTTCAAATTACAACAAATTTAGGCAGTATACACACACAATGCTACATTTTAACCCCCCTCTTCAAAAATGTTCAGGATCTCTATTTTTGCAATTATCATATATAGCAAATCAAGCAAGGAGAATATGTTACTGAAGGTAAAATGAATTTCATTATTTTTATCAGGATTCTAGGCATGCACAAAACTATTTGTGTACATGGATTCTGGTGCTTTGTGTGCACATAAACATTGTTTTGGTTTCAAATATTTCTGGGTCAAAGTATTTTGAGTGCTCCTTTTTAATTATTATTGGGAATTTTCCATTGTAACTTTTAGCTATTTTTGAAATATCTGGAGAGAGAGAGAGGTGATTGTAGTTAAAAAAGCAGGAATTCCCCCACCCAGTTTTTTTCTTAAATCAGCTCCTTTTAAAATGTTTTCCAATGACTTATGGTGGCCTAGATTTATTTATTAAATTTATGTATCACCTGATTCCCAAAATTCTGGCTCACAAGTAAAAACATTGTTTTAAAATACAAGAACAAAAATAAAAAACAATTCAAACAAGAATGAAATAAAAACTCTATTCAATCCAAAGGGGTTTCATGCACCTCACTAAAGAACTAGAGCTGGGAACATCCAGGTTTTAGAGGAACCTCATTCCAGAGTTGATTTACTGTACTTCTTGCTACAAAAGCAGGTATGCTGTGGGCCGAGAACAGCTACTGATGCTTGAAGATCTGAAATACACTCTGCAACTACTGCAAGGTCCAGATTAGGCACAGGAAATACACTGGACAGTTATCATATTGGGTATCTCCTTGATTTATGACCAGTTGCTTAGCAATCAAAATTATGTGCCGTGTAAAGCTACTAAACAACCAGATTTTGAAGTTATGATGGTTGCAAACCTGCTCCCCCCCCCCCCTTCATGATTGCATTTTAGGTGCTTGGCACCTTTACAGCAGTTTGCAGTGTCCTGTAGCCATGTGACTGATTTGGCAAAAAAAAGTAAAATGGATTTGCTTCACCACAAAAAATGCCAAAAATTGGGTCTGATCACATGATGTCTCAACTTACAATTACAAAGTTGCCAATATGTCACTCCTAATGAATTCTTCGAATCTTTTTGAAGTTTGGCTCAAGGCTCATGATTTAATTAGGGCAATCACTGGAATCCTGACAATAATTCTGGGCTCAATTACAGCTGTAACTCAAAAACTACTTGCACTTTGGCATCATCCAGATCTTTCCATGCCTCAAGGTACCCATTCTCTGTTCTCAGAGCAAGATAGGCAAACGAGGCGGTTCAAACTTATCCAATGTAACACAAGCTGTCACATGAAATTATGACCTGGATGTTCAACCAGCTTCAGATATTTGGTGATATAGATGTATGGTCCTTTCTCTAGTGGGGATACAATGACAGTGTAGTGCTATGCTATAGTCTCAGCACTTCCAATGAAGTAGGGCAGAAGTACAAATGGATGCTGCTTCATGCTCATGTCCTGGAAGTAACGTATACTACAGATAAAAAAGCCATCAGTGTGAATCTCAATATGCCTTCAGTGATAATGGATAAAGAGCCCAACCTGCATTCTGTCAAGCAGAGTTTGTTGGCAATGACTGCATGGCTCCAAACTGTATGGGTGGAATGGTCTTGGCCTGAAAGGGATCACAACTACAATCATCTCAGGTTCTCAGTGTTGGATGAATCCCATAAGCTCAGTAGTCACATCCATGAAAGACGGGATTTTTAGAGCAGCACCAGATTGAATTCTACCCACTGCCAAAGTTCTTAATCCTCAGGATGCCTCCACCTGACAGAACTCCAGTCACCTGTTGTTCAAGAACCAGTAGCGAGGGAGCTGCAATGCTTTTGGCCACGCGTGTTCTTGAGAATGCCTTACGATCAAAGCAGTTTTGCATGTGAGCGTTTCCTCATGACAAATTTAAGCGCAGAGCCATATTGGGAAGGTTCTGCCCGTAATTCTTTTCTTAGAAGAGCCCTCGGATGAGCTGCAAGATAAATTGGATAATGCAAACAGGAGTAGCAGAACCACGAGGACGGAGATCTAGGATTCGTTCGGGCTCAGAATTTTCTGGAACTTGTCTATAAAATAACATGCAAGGATGCGGTTTTCAGGATGAAAAAAAGAAAAGTATGTTTTTAGACCGGATCGTCATAATCGGTACTCTGACTGCGAAGCATCCAGTCACCTTCCACTCCAACTGCACATCTGCAATGCCAAAACTACTCACACAATGCTGATTTGCGCACGCGCTAAGGTTATTGCTTTTTATAATAAACATCTGATTGTTGGCTCGTGACGCAGAGGGCGGGATTATGTTTGCGCGTACGCGTTCTTTACAAGCCTTTTTTTCTAGAACATTCTTGCCCGGCGCCATTTTGTTACGGCGAGGATCTTGTAATGGCGGCTAGGCAGTGAAGAACTGTAAGGTGTTTATAGACCGGAGACCGGTTCCGAGCGGAAAAGTAAGTTTGGGTGATATCAAAACCCCAAAGTCAGGGGTATTCGGCGTGAGATAATGTCTTCTCGTAACATAGAAGTGAGTGGGATCGTTTGTTGAATGTGCAGGAGACGCGGGGACCTCTTTTTTTTTTTTTCTTCGTGGTGTGCAAGCCGAGCAGCTGTCGGTAGCTTCTGCCTCTTCGTTAAGGCTAAGGTCCGCCGGCTGTCGAGGTCCGGCTACGGTCTTGAGGGCCTGAAAGAAAAAACAGTCCCGGTTGTAGTTATGTGTCGCCCTTGCTTCGCCTTAACGAGAAGAGGCAGAATTTTTTTTTTAACCCACAGAGAGAGAGAAAGAGCACTGTCACTGTAAAATGGATTTGCCTTTTTATTGCCTGCTGACTGCGCCTACACAATTGCGTAGTCTTCAAAAGGTTTTCTGATCCTTAATGTTCCCTACTTGTGATGTACGATTATTGTAAGCTGTATGCGATGTTGAGGGTGAGGTAATGGACGAGTAGGAAAACGATTTTAATCAGGAGAATATCTCAATTTTGCTGCTGTTCTTGAAGATTCGGCGGTTGATAGTTCAAGGTAAAGAAATCCGGAAATGTGGAAGAAGAAAGCTTTAAGTTTGGGGTTTTTTATTCTTATAAATACAAGGTAAGAAGAGATGGCATGGAAAGACACTAAAATTGTTACCAAAGCACAAGGGACTAAGAATAGCAACAAAACTAAAATGCAGTTGAAATTACAGGGAAAAAATGGCTGCTAGTAAAAGATATACCGTCTGAAAGAGGAAAGAGACGGAGGCTGCTAAATCATTCCAAGGAAAATAATGCAGAGCTTTTACTACCATAGCCAAATAAGTTCTATATTTAAATTTATTATCAATATTTCTTGCCATTCTGAGAGATTGATTTTAAGGGGTGGACCGGCTTCTGAGGGTGAAATCTATGTTCTGCCAAGCTGTTTGTTAACAACAATGTAGCAGGGAGATTTTGGAGACATGACCTTTTTGAGAATAGTAATTGAGAGTGTTGTCTCTTAATATTTCACTGATATCAACAGCAAAATTATCTCTGTGGAATTAGATTCCACATATTAGGCTTTTTTTTTTTAAGTGACTCTTCTCATGACATGTTTGACTTGTTCATTTAATATCTGGGTTTTACCAGATATTAAATCTTTAATGAATTTAATAAACTAAGTTCACCAGTCAGCGTCAAAAAACTAACCAGTTTACCCACATTGAAGATAGTGTTTTACATTTATATTGTTATTTCTTGTATAGAACTAGATTTTGAGAAATACTTTTGAAAAATGTATTCAGAACTTTTGCTTTTCATGTTCAGCTTGATAGTGGAGTAATAGGAAGTATATGGAAATTTTCATTTCAGTCCATGTGTTTAATATTTTAGAATCTGCTCCAAAGTTGCTTCTTTCAAGTTTGGTATTTATTTCATTTCTTTTGTTAATTACATTATGGCCCTATCTTCTTCAATTAGGTTTCTTAAAACTATTGGACTAGAAGTCCTATTGTTACATTTGTGATTGTGATAATTGTAGTCACTTGAATCAAGAAGTCATAATTCTTAAGTCTAATTTTGGTAACCCTGATGACACCCATATAATTTTCAAGTTTTATGTAATATTGAATAAAATATACAGGTAGTCCTTGACTTACAACAATTCACTTAGTGACTGTTCAAAGTTACAATGGCACTGAGAAATGGGTCGTATTACCATTTTTCACAGTTACAACCTTTGCAGTATCCCCTTGGTCATGTGATCAAAATTCAGATGCTTGGCAACTGGTTCAGTTATGATATCCCAAGGCCACGTGATCCCCTTTTGTGCCCTTCTGACAAAGTCAATGGGGAAGTCACATTCACTTAACCATGTGACAAACTTAACTATGGTGATTCACTTAACAACTGGCAAGGAAGGTCATAAAATTGGAAAAATTCACTTAACAATGTTTCACTTAACACAAATTTTGGGCTCAATTATCCTAAAGACTCACTACCTGTATTACAGTGCATTATCAAATATATCAAAAGCATAGGTAAAAGTAATGTAAAGATATCCCTTGTACACATGTTCCCCTTGCCAAAGAGCCAGCGCTGTCCGAAGACGTCTCTGTGGTCATGTGGCCGGCATGACTAAACGGCAAAGGCGCATGGAATGCTGTTACCTTCCCACCAAAGTGGTCCCTATTTTTCTACTTGCATTTTTACATGCTTTCTAACTTCTAGGTTGGCAAAAGCTGGAACAAGTAACAGAAGCTCACTCATTATGTAGTGCTAGGGATTCGAATCAACAAGCTCAGTGTCTTAGCCACTGAGCCACCACATCCCTTCTATATTAATTGGAATATATATTAAATATTAATTGGAACTGGTATTTAGTAGACAACACAGTGTTTAAAAGTATATACATTTTTGAGAAGGATTTCATTTTTCTCAAGCTTGTATGTATATCATTTGCTATTGGACCTTTCGAAAGAGCTTTTCAATCTGGGTTTTTACACATTCTGCTTTATGAATGTGCTAAGAATCAGAGACTGATATGGAAATAAAGGTTTTTCTCATTGTGTATTTTACTGAGTTCAATATTTTGTCAACTGAGAAGATCAGGAGAGTTTTTTTAATTTCTAAGAAAAATAGGGATGGATTAATTGGAAGTTATCCCAAAACTTTTTTTCTAAAGCATATTGATATATCTGATAATATAATATGTACTTTATTTCAGATGAGGTATTCTAGACACAGTCAATATGGTAGCTGTGATGAAAAACAATGTTGCGATCCCCAAAACCAGCAGAAAAGAAAAAGACAATCACATGGCACATATGAATACAAACGCTGCAAATATGATCAAACTCTAATGTATGATAGGTAAGTTTCTTTCTCAGTTCTCATGCAGCTAAAATGTAAGTAATATTAGATTTTATCACGTGATTTATGGTAACATTTTATAGGAGTTAAAATCCAAAATACAAGAACAATTCTTGATTCCCTATATCTGAAATGCTGGTTTATTAAATATTAAAATGACCTCATGTTTAATAAACAGTTGTGTGTGTTCT